ACAAGTGAATGGGCTTTTGATTTCCCTTCTTCATATGTAGCTTATTGTTGTTGTTTTTACAATTAAAGCAAAGCATTTTCTTCATACAGAGAACTGTTTGTGTGGATCGTTCTTCTGTTTCTCCACTCCCTTCATTGAGATTTAGAGGACCCAAATTATTCTACAGTTATGAGCCGATAGTCAGCAGTATCATTTTGAAGACAAAAAAGAGATTTGATCCAACATTCCTTGGCTTCTGGGAAGCGCAGACTAGTTTTGTTTCCCGTAAAGTGTTGAAGGAGTGGCTTTATCTCTAAAACATGCTATAAAACAACATCTTTGATGGAAAACCCTTGAAAGTGTCCTGCTCCCTGTGGGCCTGGCAGACTTTCTCTATGGTTTGTTAACCATGGCAGAGGGTTAATAAGCATGTGATATTGGGAGTGTTGCCACATGGTAATTAAGATAAATCAGCTCTGTGCTGCTTCTGATTCACCAGCTGGTGACTGCATTGGTGCAAGGCTGCAATTAGTCTTTATTCTGTTTTTGGTGCCTTTTATTTAAAATTCTGAAATTACTGAGCATATATTATCCTTGGTAAATGCTTACATCTAATTACATAAATGTGGAACTATGATTACATAGACAAATCCTTTTTCTTGAGTACAGTCTCATTCCATTTATGAAAAGTAAACTCTTTTTAAAAAATCATCCCTGACATGGAAACAGTAATTTCCCAATAATCACTTAATGACAAAATTCGAATGGAGCAAAATATGCTTGTTTCTATATTGTGAATTCCGTGGCATTCAACAGTTAGTTCAAGTGAAGATCCTTTTTAACAGTGAACACAAATGATAACTGTTCTGATGTTTGAAGCTCATGGTGCTTGTCCACTGAAGTGTGTAAAAGGTTCATACAGATGTGATATTCGTCTTTGAACCTGGGAAGTTTTGCTCTGCTTCACTCTCAGCTCTTGTGGCAAGTTTAGGCAGAGACTCTTTGTGGGACGCGTTTCCCTGGGCTGAGATAAACATCTGCTAGCTCACCTAAGGATTACTACCACAAAGGGGACAGGTGGAAGTTCTGATATTTGGAGTGGTGTAGTGGTTTGCATTTTCAAAACTCCGCTTAGCCATAGAAACCAACTGGATGACCATGGGCAAATCTGTCAGTATGTAATGTTATCTAGTGGGAAAATTGAATATTGTTTAAACGGTATGGTTTCAGTAATACATGGGTTGAAACTACAGAGATGTGCAGAATTGGTAGGGTGTCACTTTTGGAGTTTCCTGTGCAGACTGGAAATGAAGTTGTGTGATGTGCTTTGTTTAGTGTGCCAAGATGTGATCAGACATGACCGGAGAATGGAGTGTACATATTTTATAAATAATAAAGATAAAGTGCCACTTCTGGTGAAAGCTGAATTGGAAGAGTTCAGTGTCATTACCACTTCGTGCCTTTAAGTAGAACTTGGAAGATTGAAGCAGCTGAGATAAGGAAGGTGATTTATCTCAATTTTAATGTCAAAATCATACTCTCCGCCTCAGAGGAAGGTGAGGGCAACCCCCCACTGAAGAAATCATGTTAAGAAAACCCTGTGTTTGAGATGCCTTAGGGTCATAAGTTGGAAATGACTCAAAGGCACAAACAAAGAGAATAAGAAGTCCATGTCTTATTCAGGATTTCGGCTGAGTAGCATTATTTAATATTTTCTCTAGTGTGGGAAATGGAACTAGGACTCACTAATTTATAACAAAAATAGCTACTTGCTAGGGAGCAATGAGCAATCTCGAGAAAATAGTGAAGAGTAGAGACATCACACTGGCAACGAAGGTCCGCATAGTTAAAGCAATGGTATTCCTCGTAGTAACCTATGGATGTGAGAGCTGGACCATAAGAAAGGCTGAGCAAAGGGATATGGACACTTTTGAACTGTGGTGCTGGAGGAACATTCTGAGAGTGCCTTGGACCGCAAGAAGATCAAACCTGTCCATACTCCAGAAAACAAAGCCCGATCGATCACTGGAGGGAAATATATTAGAGGCAAAGATGAAGTAAAACAATACCTCTGTAGGAGTCTTTAAGTCCTCCAGTGTGATTTTGTGGACATATCCACTGGATGTTGATCATAAAGTCGCCTTGGAGGATTTAGAGATTCCTAGATAATGATGAATAATCAAATCAACAAAAGTTTAAGCCGCAATAGGAGACGTGCAATTCCAGAGATTATTGTGACCGTTATCCCAAAATATTGGCTGCAGATGAATAATCACTTCATCACACTAGAGAATGAATCCACTTTAAATCCAGTTTTTGCCTTCTGCAGAATTCTGGGGTTTGTAGTTGAGTGAGGCTGTTAAAGGCTCCTCCCTAAACTACAAACCCCACAATTCTGCAGGATGCAGAAACCGGATTTAAAGTGGATTCTTTCTCTAGTGGATGAGGTCCTAAATCATCTTTAGACACGGCAACCTAAAAGCTAGAGATGTGGAGAAAGGGGCCCCTGTGGAGCTTGAGATGCTGGTGCCCTCGCTTCCTCCCTGTGTCCCTTTCCTCAGCAATGATTTCACTAGTCCTCTTTTCACAGGTAAGTGAACTACAGTAAGGTGTAAGGCTTCTGTTGCTGCATGTCTTAACAGCACTTATTTCTTATATGTTGCCTTGTAGAAAGATGCATCACCCTGTGACACCTCCACAGCTTGTTCTGTTTCAACATGGAACTGAATAGGATTTAATTGGCATTGTTATCACTTTATACACACAAGATACTCAACACACTGGAGGTGCCAAATATTTTTATGGCATTAAACAAGAATCTGGCAAAAATTGGTGCCACCTTCACACGCCAAGTTAATACTTGGTAGAAGAATCTTTGGCAGCCTTTACAGCTGTACATCCTCTTTGTTATTTGGCTCCCATAACTTTCCCCTCCATTCTTTTACAGAAATGTTTTATCTTTATCAAGTTGGCTAGGGGCCATTACTCAAGAGCACAATTTCTCAAATCAGATAGAGTCTGCACTTTGGGTGGGACAATCCAGGCTATTTAGTCTCTAATATTTGAAACATTCCAGTGGTGTCTGTGTGCTTAGGATCATTTTCTTTCTGGAAAGTGAACACCCCAATCCCATGTCCCTAGTGGACTGAAATTTCTCTGTATTTGCTCAAGCTACTCTGCCTTCAACCCCTGCAGGATTCCCTGTCAGGGAGAAACATCATACTTCCCTTTCCGTGCTTCACTTTGGAGATGTTGTTCTGAAGAGTGATGAGCGCAGTTGGCTTTGTGCCACACATAGCTTTTTTTGGTGGCAGGACTCAAAAGTTCTATTTTGGTCTCATCATACAAGAAAATATCTTTCCACGTATTTGCTGTGTCTGTCACATGCCTTTTTGCAAACACCAAATGGGCCTTTATATGGGTTTGTTTCTGTAGTCACTTTTGCCACAATTTTGTGTCCTGTGGATGTTTTTTCTGTCAGTTGCAGATCTCTTTGGATCCATTGGCATCATTGGCCTCTTGGTTGCTTTTCTGAATAATGCTCTCAATAGTCAGTCACTGAGTTCCAATGGAAAGATGTGTTTAGGCAGAGTCATAATTGAGCTATATTTTTCCATTTCGTAATATAGAATGTAACTGTACTCTGGGAGTATTCATAGTTTGGGATAAGTATATATAATCCAATCAGAGTGGGGCAGTTATATCAAGATGGAGTTTCTAATCAGCTACACACAAGACTTCTAGTGTGGGCTGTGCCAGAGCTTATTTAGATATTAAAAGGGGTTATTGCTTATTAAAAGGGGTTATTGCTTAACAAGGGCCCATCTGCTTCCGAGGGTACAGTGGGTGAAACCACTGAGCTGCAGAACTTCCTTACCGAAAGGTTGGTGGTTTGAATCTGGGGAGCGGGGTGAGCTCCCACTGTTAGCCCCAGCTTCTGCCAAACTAGCAGTTTGAAAACATGCAAATATGAGTAGATCAGTAGGTATCACTTTGGCCGGCCACATGATCTTGGAGGTGTCTCCGTACAACGCTTAGAAATGGAGATGAACACCATCTCCCAGAGTCGGACACAACTAGACTTAATGTCACAAGGAAACCTTTATGTACCTTATTATTTGCCTGCTTTGCGCAGGCACAGTGTTGAATATTTTTTGTACATCAAGTAGTAACAATGTCACTATCAATTTGAGTTCCAGGTTATAATTAGAAAGTCAAGGGATACATACTTTTTCAGGACAGTCTTTTAAGTTGGTTTAAGTATCCTGGTGTTACCGTCAACAAGTGTGTTTACTTTGCTCTTTATCCCAGACTGTGGCCCTCCTTTCCATGTGAGATCAATTTGCCCCCTTTCTGCACTCTCTCTGCTGGCAGGTGAAGATGTTTATTTTTAGGCAGGTTTTTGAATTTTAATTGTGGAACTTTAGTGTGTTTGCAAATGGTGTGCTTTTTAATGAAACTTTAATATATTATAACAGTCTTTAATCATCTTTTTTTATTGACTGTGGCATTTAATTCCTTTTTCTAACTTTTGTAAAATAATGTTTAGCTGCATCTTTAAAAAAATAAGACGCCTTGAATTTAATTTTGGGAGAAAAATGGAATATAAATAAGTACTAATCATTATTATAATGATAAAATACATATTTCTTACCCATTTTATATTAGTTGAATCTAGGGTAATTTAAAATCAGTTTAAAACAGTTGGATAAATAAATAAAATCCACAAGCAGATCATGACATCATTTTTATTTTACTAGGTCCAAAAAGGTGAGAGAACATCACAGTTTTAATTTGGCTCCCCAAATAAGGGACAGATATTTCACGATTGGAGCTCTGTAGCTGAGACATCTTTCTTTGCCTTGTTACTGCTCCCGATGAGAAGACGGTCCTTGGCAGATTTTAATAGTAGAGGAAGTTGCTTCCTTGCAGCTTGCAGCCCCTGTCCTTGAATGGCATCATGTTCTTTCCCCCATGCAGTGTTTTTATCATAGGCTCTTGTTTTTTTTTTTCTCCTCCAGCAGTCTGTCCTCAGCCACCAGAGCCAGAGAATGGAGGCTACAGATGCCACCCAGCACCCTGTAAAGACCCACTGACATCTGACAGTGTCATAGAATATTTATGTGAGGAAGGCTATCTACTGAAGGGGGACTACAAATATTTGACCTGCAAGAATGGAAAGTGGAATCCAGACATGGAGGTTACCTGCAGGCTCAGCCCAGGTCAGTTATGCTTCAGAATTAATATGCCACTTCTTGTTTTCAGTGCTGGTCTCCTTGCTCAGTGCTTCTCAGTACTGGTACATCAGCCAGAGTGCTCTGACAGTTCATCAAATATGTCGTGTTAATATTCTACAAAGACATCAATCTTCACTGTAAACTTGTCTCTTTCATACAAGTGTAACTATCATGTTGTGACCTACGGTTCTCAGGGCTTCTTTGGAAGAGGAAATGACACTTTAGCCAGTTTAAATTAGTATGAAAGGTATTGTGACACATGGGTGTTTCCCTTCTTCTTTATCAGGTTGCACCATGTGGTTCTCCAGATTTTGAACTTTTAACTCCAGTTAGTCCTTCTCAGTACAGCCATTAGTGAGCGTTGATGGGAATTGCCCTCTGATAGCATCAGGGCAACTATGTGTTCCTCATCCAAGCATGTACTTTCCAGACCCAAAGCACAGAGAAATTATATTGTGTGAATTTGAGGCAGGGGAATTTTCGTGTTGTGCCCTGTCATAACATATTACATCCTCTGCTTAGTTCTACTTGTCAAGAAAATAACTTTTTCAAAAGGAGCTTGACAGTTGAGTCTTGCAAGTTTCTCACTAGCTGGATAAGAATTCCTTTCCCATGGTAGGAAGCCAGAAGTCTATAGGAAAATGTTTCTCGTGTAGCTTTAATTGACCATGAGGTATTGGAGCAAGGAAAGGAAAGGAGTGTGTAATTGAACAGAAATTTGAGGGGGGGGGGGGACTCCCTTGCAATCTGGACAAAATGCTGAAATCGATATGATAATGTAATTTTTTAAACTGATTGAAGTGGGAAAGAGGTGAGGTTCTTCTTTTCTCCCGAAAGAAAAGGGCATCAATTAAATAGAAAAGAACGGTTTCTTCATTTTCAAGTTTTGACTTGTCTTGGCCTCAACTTTTCGCTTTTCCAAAACATCTTGCCAATATGTTCCATGAAATAGTGACTCAGTCATACAAACACAAAGAGAAAATTCAATTCCTTGTTCCCTAGGGATAAAATAAGCTTCAAAAGATTTTTAATGCACTTTTGGCTTATATTCAAAAAATACAAAGTGACTCAATGCAGGAAAAGGATCCTGATGGCCAGATGATAGCAAATGTTGTCTGGGAATTGTGTTGAGAGTGTTACTTAGTTCACACATGAGTTCTGTTCTGTTTATGAGCATATCTGATACATTTGGAGCCAGAGCTGACAGCTGGGAATAAAGCTTATAAAATGCATGCAGGAGCATCCTAATATTTCTCCTTTCCCCCCATAACCTAGTGTACTGAAAGGTCTTCTTTGGTAATAGAAAACATCTGCTTTTCAAGGAGAAATGATTTCAAATGACTCTCTTTGTTTTCATTTAATAGATAAAGATTCACCTCCAAGTGTAGGAGTGCCCACGCTATCCATAGTGGCTTCCACAGCAAGTTCAGTAGCTCTTGTCCTTCTCCTAGTTGTCCTGTTTGTTTTGCTGCAGCCAAAGCTGAAGTCCTTTCATCACAGCAGGTGAGTTCATGTAAATGTGTGGGGTTGGTGCTCCCCAGGTAGAAATCAGATTATAGTCAATGGACACTACTTTCAGGGAAATTATTGTGTTAATCTGTTGCATCAAGTACAAGAAAGAATTTTGTGGCATCTCAGTTTTATTTTGCTTAAATTTTCATAGACTTCAGCTCATGAAAGTATATGCCAAATAAAACTTGCTAGTTTTAAAAGTTCCACAAGACTCTTAGTTGTTCTGTTGTTCAACGTCCACTCCCTTTTTTTCTTTTCTTTTCTTCATATTTTTTCTTAGTATTTTACTTTCCCCCCATACAGTAATGGAGCAATCCTTTTTTTCTGTTATGCAAAGAATCCATTTATGTTCCTTGGCAAAAAGCGGCTATCAGACTGCTGATCCTGGTGCAGGTCTGTGCAACTAAAACTAATTATAAACCTGCCAAATGCAGCCTAACATTTGCGTGTTTTGGCCTGACAGAAGCTCAATAAAGCTCCTGTTTTTATTGCCTCCAAGGGATTGACAAACCAGAATTGTTTGGGATTATTTTGGGTTTCTTGAATCTCAAGCAGACTAGTGACACCAGTCTTGCCATCCATTTGCAGATCCAACTTTGATAATTCTTAATGTTTTCTATGGGCCCTTCCATGCAGCCATATAACCCAGAATATCAATATAGATAATCCACAATATCCGCTTTGAACTGGGTTATCTGAGTCCACACTGCCATATAATCAATGGATTTTATACAGCTGTGTGGAAGGGGCTTATGACTAAAACATATGGGTTATTCTGCACCTGTATGGAGATCTTTGGAAGCTTCTAGAGCTACATTTTAGTAGCAACCAAACCCCCTCACTCACATGAATATAAGCTGTGCGTTATCACCACATCCAGCTTTTTTTTAATCTGCCATCACAGTAGTCTTTAGGAAGTTCTGAAGCATTTTGAAATTCTCTGCAATACAGATTCTTCTTCTCCTTTGGGGGCTTATGGTATCTTCAAGTAGGTTATTCAAGAATTGTTTAGCCAGTGGGATAACGATGGTGAAGATGAGATTGTTGGCTTGTGCCCATTTTGCCAGAGCTTTACTCGGCAAGTGAGGCATCATAGAGCTTCCAGTCCTACAGTTCTCTAATGTAAGGAGATTTCCATACTGTGACTCTTGCAACTTTCAAGAAGCTTGTTTTCTACAGCCTCTGTATCTATCTGTTTTCACTCTACAACTGTATGAGAGGAGGAATTGGGGGCGGGTGCGTGTGTTTGTGTGTGGAGGAACCAGTTGCTGATCCTTGCCCTCCTCCCTCTCTCTGACTCGGCAACATTGGAACCCCCCCAGTCTCCATCCCGGAGCCATGACCCTATCCTCAACTCAAATGCTGAGTTTTGCAGTGTCTGTACTGTGCTCTACCAGCCCAATTTCTAGAAGGATGGATATTAACTCTTCTGGTTAGGTCCACATTGTTGGCTCCTACTTGGAAGGAGAGATTCTGAACAAATATCTCTTACCTCAAGCTCTCACCAAAAGATACTGGAATTCACCCCAATGACAATTGGCACTGAGGTCATAGTACACAATCAAAGCAATCAGAAACATACCCTTAGTGAACTCAGGGCTGCAACCACATTATACCACAAAAATTATTCATTGAGGGCAGTGCTAGAAATGTGAGTGGTGTTCTCTTTTGGAATATATGCACGCAATCATGCTCCTAATAACAGGTGGTGGTTCCCTCCCCTTCCCAGTTAATTCCTGTGGCAGTCTTGTTCCATCTGTTATTCAATCCTTTACACTTTCCAGTTTTGCAAATCTGTACAATTACATTCAAACAATTTCTCTCCTACCCTCTTTGGGAATTAAGATAAAAGGACAAAGGAGTATGCAGTATATCTTTGCATTGCTTAGATTCTAGAGTTTTCCCTACAAAACCAAACATAAATGATTTTCAACTATGAATTGCATTATCATAGAATCTGGAAGCCCTGCTTGAATTTGACTTTTTTTAAAAATAAAATAAAATGCTGGGCTTTTTTTAAGTAGTGGGAGGATGCCTAGACAAAACATCTGGATATGCTGAGAATTCTCCCTTCTTCCATGGCCTGCCAAAAAACATTGTCTGTTCTGAGTCATGGCATTCTCAGTCTGTCCAGCTGCTGTTAAGTAGCAACTCTGTGTCTGGAGCTTGTGTTAAAGGCACTTCTCTTGAATAGTCTCAGGTTGGCAGACCGAGCCTTAAAAAACTCATGGGTTTTCTTGACACATAAAATATCATCCATTGTTCTGTTTTCAGTGGTAGTGTTGGTTTATAGGACCCCAGCAGTATTGTGATGATTTATAAGACCATAGACTTGGTTTCATGTTCTCATTTTAATGTTATGGTGATACATGGTCTTCAATTGTTTCTTGGTCTTCTTGCCCAATTTGCAATATAAACTGGGACAAAAACAATAGTCTGCTTCACATTGTTGTGATAGATTGAGATGTAAAGATACTTTGGGGTTAGGGGCAGCTTTAAGTATGCAGGAGGGTGTTAATTTCATTTTTCAAAGGAAAATGAGAAGTAGAGTTTCCTGGTCTGACTGTTGCATACTTGAAACATGCTGGTTGCTTTATGTTCCTGTTCCATTATGATTTTGTCTTGCACTGCCAGGAAACTTCAGTTGCTTTAGCAACACAGCTATCCAAATACACCCAATCTTCTTCCCAGATTTGGAGATGAGATTGGGGAATGTACATTGCTACCACTGCAAATTCTAAGCTTGTGCTTCCTCATGTTCATCATTCATGGTGAGCAGGAAGGCATGAGTTATTACTATAGTGATCATGCTGTGAGTATGTTTCACAGCAGCAGTAATTCCCCCACCTACCTTCCCACCCACTTTTTGGTAAGTTATTTGAGGTAGTTTATAACACATTAAATATTCAATCTGTTGGGGAGTGTGGATGGTGCCCACTCTCACCAGCTAAAGAAATGGGAATATTGGGGCATTTCACATGAGCAGATGTAAAACTGGAATTTAAACATCCAAATATGTGATATTCCACATAAAATGGGACCCCTGGGACCCCTTTGTGAGAACCAGGACAATGTTGTTGCTTAATCAATTATGTGAGTTAAAACTTAAATAGTAAGAAAATTGTAAGAAAATTATGTTAAAAAAGTGTTCATTTTTCAGAGTAGCACTATAAAATTTAAATATCTTACCTGGGCATTCAATCAGAGACACAGAGTAAGCCTCTTTTTGTAGACTTGGTAACTTAGAACATTCTGTAAGATATGAACAAGCACTATGTTAAATACTGACAGTTGTGAACCTTGAACAGGGCTGAAATCTAGCAGAAGAGCCATCCATTTGAATCCATTTTCAGTGCCAGGAAGTAATGTGACCCAGAATTATTCACGGAGCACATGCCTGTCTGTCAGTGGCAAGGAGGAGAACTGTCTTAGGAAAATCTCAGAGAAATCAGAATACCCTCTATATTTTGTTTGTTTGCTTGTTCTTCATAAAACCAAGCAGTGGTGAAAATAGTGCTGTTATCCTGTTCATTTTTCTTGGAGCCCCAAGGTTAGCTAATCAGAGCCAGATGAAAAATTGTGTATCCAAGAAGTACACATACTTTTAGAATTAAGAAAACAGTGTGAGTACTAGTATAAAAAGAGCCCAGGATTTCGTTGTTAATTCTAAAAGTTGCCTTCTTAGTAACTTCGCCAAAAATCCAGTCAGTTCTTCAGTATGGCATCCGTTTGAGTCTCTTGCCTTTTTGATGCTGATTATCTAATGCAAGCTATCTTGAGACCTATGAATACATTCTCCTGATCTACCTTTTTCCAAGTTCTGTTTAAATGTTGGTGCAAGAGAACTGAAAAAATGCAGAGCACTGTGCTGTTATTACGGCTGGATCTGTATGGTTACTGCTGATTAAGCAGGCCATGGGGAAGGTTGAATATCTGAAGGCTGTGACTATTGCAGTGTTTTCAAATATCATTTTGTGTACTTCACTGTGCTGGAATATAATATAGTATTTCTTTCAAATCCAAATACAGGCGTGATCAAGGTGTTTCTGGGGACCAGGTTTCCATCATGGTGGATGGAGTTCAGGTGGCTTTGCCGTCCTATGAAGAAGCCGTCTACGGCAGTGCTGGGAACTGCATACCTCCCTCAGATTCACGCGTACAGATAGTTCTTTCAGAAGGAGCTGGGCAGAGTGGAGCGGGAGAGATGCAACAGCCTCCACCAGACCATTCGGGTCACAACTGCTTTGATAGGGAGGATGAAATCCCTGGACACTCAGGACTGTGTGAAGCTGGCAGCTCTCACCACTCAGAGGCTGTCCTAGTGCACCAAGCTACCACCTCTTCCTGGGTGGCTGGGGCATCTAGTAGTAGTTCTGGGCACAAGGAGGCGCCAGATTCGGAGAGTAGTGATGTTCAAAGCCTTTTGTCACTCACTTCCTCAGAGGACTATTCTGATGGTAAGCATTTTGACAAATATTTCTTGTATATAAGGTTCTGCTAATTAGATTTAAATATATTTAATTTCGCCTCCATTGGAATGCCAATAAGGAGCATTACCTTATAAGCCCCCCCCCCCCCCCAGCTTTCTCTGATGGGCAGATAGTCCCTAGCTATTTTATTTACAGTACTTATATTCCGCCTTTCTCATCCCGAAGGGTGGATCACAGAACATATATACGTCAAACATTCAATGCTGATCATACAATTATTTATTTATTAAAACATTTATATTTCGCCCTACTCACCCCGCAGGGGACTCAGGGCAGAGCACAACATATATACAGCAAACATTCAGTGCTGGGACATAAAACCATAAATATATACAAACATTAAAATCACTTATATTCACATTGAAAGTTCGCTTAAAACCCATCTCAGGACACCCATTTTGCCTCATTGCACTGCCCCAAAGGCTTGGCCCCATGGCCAGGTCTTCACTATCTTTCTGAAGGACAGGAGGGAGGGGGCTGATCTAATATTGCTAGGAAGGCAGTTCCATAACTGGGGAGCAATCACTGAGAAGGCCCTGTCTCTCGTCCCTGTCAAATGCGCCTGTGATGGAGGCGGGACCAAGAGCAGGGCCTCCTAGAAGATCTTCGTTTTCGCAGTGGTCATCAATTAAATAATAATAATAAATAAATCTTTATTTATATCCCGCTTTTCAGGGATAGAATTTAAAAGAACCTACCACAATGAAGCATTCCCTGTATTAGATCACCAAAATTTATTTGAAGGAGACAGATTCTTTCTAAAAAGAATCTGACACATTATTTTCCCCTGAATCAAAAGTAGTTTTAAGCCTAAAGGGAATGTATGTATTGAAGCCAGTGCAAGTTTTCAATTGGTGGAGTTGTATAGAACAATCTACTTTTTTTCTACTCAGTTTTAACATCAATTCGAGTATTTTCTAACATTTATGAATTAGATTTGTTGATTTCAGTTTCTCTGAGGAAACAAATAATGCTTCCTGCACTGCTGGGGTGGCTGATCAGGTGTCCAATGTATAGACACCAAAAAGCAGAGTTTGGAACATAAGGTTTGAAAAATAGTTTGGTAATTTTAAATGTTAAAAATTGGGAAAATTAATTCACAACCACAGTCACTAATAATTTCAAATATTTAACTAGTTCTGTTACAATACAATTATTTAATTAATTGGTTAAAATGCTAGTGTGGGATCAGACCATGGCCTAGAGTTTTGTTTGTGGTTTTTGTTTTTTAAATAAGCAGTGTGTGGAGGTTTTCACTGTTGTCCTGTGGAGAGTTTTTGAGTTTCCTGCCTCCAGCCTGGATTTTTTTCACCACATGGATTACAAAGTTCATAGTATAATTATTAGTGGCGAATGTCAGAAATCCAATATATCTGGGAACTGTCAAATTAGGAAAGATCCCAACATATGGCAACTCATTTTACAGCCTCTTCAATTTAGTTCACCACTTATCTGCATCTCCTGTTGCTTTCTATTCTTTCCAACCATAGACACTCTTAGGGGGTAAGGAGGCGGACTCTCTTTCTTTGAAAGTTTTTAAACTTTTATTATTGTGCTGTGCTCATAATATATATTGTGTATATATATAGCATTGATAATAATATAATAATGTAATACGATATAATAATAATACAACATAATAATTGTATATTATATATTACATGTAATATAGCTAATAAATATTGCAGTATAGTGGTATAGTCCAATATAGTAATATATAATACTAATATTGTGCTATGCTAATCATTATATTGTATGTACATATAATATTGATCATAATATTGTAATACAATATAATACTAATAATAATAATAATATAATAGAATGATATGTTTTATATTACATGTAATAATAATAATATTTCAGTATAGTGTATAATACAATATAGTAATATAATATATTAATATTGTGCTATACTAATATACCATATTGTATGTACATATAACTTGTAAGCCGCTCTGAGTCCCCTTCGGGTTGAGAAGGGCGGGATATAAATGTAGCAAATAAATAAATAAATAATAAACAAAGATTGGATGGGTATCTTTCAAGAGTGCTTTAGTTTGTGTATTCCTGCATGACAGGCTTGGATCCACGATTAGTAAGGCAATCAGTAAATAGCCATAAAAATCAGTCACTGAATGAAGGTTAAACAGTTAATTAGAAATGTTTTGAGAGCATCTGAGCATATGCAGAGTCCCCACCACAAGCAAAGCATTTCAGCCTCTCCACTCTGCAGTGATTGGTGTTAGAGCCCATGGGAAGCAGGAACACCAAATTAAACCTGTGTCATCTCTAGGTCAAAAGATCACTTATTGAACAACCTAGGAGCCCCTGGTGGTGCAATGGGTTAAACCCTTGTGCCGGCAGGACTGCTGACTGAAAAGTCAGCGGTTCGAATCTGGGGAGTAGAGTGAATTCCCTTCTGTCAGCTCCAGCTTCCCTTGCAGGGACATGAGAGAAGCCTCCCATGAATGGTAAAACATCTGGGCATCCCTAGGCAATGTCCTTGCAAATGGCCAATTCTCTCACACCAAACGTGACTTGCAGTTTCTCAAGTTCCTCCTAACATGATTTTTTTTTTAAATAACCCCATTATTCTTGTCACTCATCTTAATAGTTATTTCTTTAAATCTCATTACAAAATTATTGTGAGGCTAATAAAAAAATGTTATTTTTACCCCTCTGTTTTGAATGTATGGTTCAGAAAATGGACTGGCTGAGGTATGTGAAGGGAGAAATATGTCTTAGAGACTTAAGAACCTAACAAATCCTAACAACCAAATTCACTAAAGTATATTTTTAACTTCAGTGTTAATTTGGGAGATCTAGAAAGTTAGGTGATAGAACCAGAAAAAGAGGAGCTCCCAGTGGCGCAGTGGGTTAAACCCCTGTACCAGCAGAACTGAAGACCGACAGGTCGCAGGTTCGAATCCTCTGTAAGCTCCAGATCTCTATGTGGCAACATGAGAGAAGCCTCCCACAAGGATGGTAAAACATCAAAAATATCCAGGCATCCCCTGAGCAATGTCCTTGCAGATGGCCCATTCTCTGAAACCAGAAGCGACTTGCAGTTTCTCAAGTAGCTCCTGACACAACAAAAAAAAAAAAACCCCAGAAAAATCTAACAATAATAACTTGCTGAGTTAATCAGCAAATTAATTCGAAGCTCTGTCAAAAGGTGTTGTTATTGTAAATGTCACCATAGTAACACCCACGAGTAACTGAAGAATAGACTGCAATATTGAGAATGGCAAAAAAGTCTTGGCCTGGACCTCTCTATCGATCCAAAGTATAAATTCCATAGTCAAGTCATTTCTTCAGAAAATCCTCAAGAGGTTTCTTGTCTTTGCTTGATGAAAAGCCTGCAAAAACATAACTGGTCAAGGGTTTGAAGACTGTTTAGGTTCCATAGAAAATAGCATGGACTTCATACTTATATTAAAGCTTTTGAAATTGAAAGTAAACATCCAAGAGTGTTTAACTTGTCTTTCCCCCTCTTTCCCTTTCTCCCCTTTTCAGATATTCCATTGTTGAAAGAAGCATGAGGCTTGCTGTGTTTGCCTAGCCTTCGATTCATTTTCTCCTTCTCGGGATGGTGAGCACTCCGTGCAGGCTTTCTCCACCCTCATGCGCTGTGCCCTGAATACCTCCAAGCAAAGCACCCCTTAGCTGAAGACCCAAAGGATGCTGCCAGGATGCCTCCTTCATGCGTCAGTGGGGTGTACAGGGTGCCAGACATCCCCCAACCCTGCATTCTTTCTGCATTGAGCGGGGGCTTCAGTTATATTAATGGACTTGAGCTCTTCCTACCTCTCCTTTCCCCAGCCAGATATCTGAGTGTGGTCTCCGGAGAGCTGCTATTTACTTGTGCCTTGCTCCTTCTCACACTGGCTTTTTGCAGCTTCTCGTGGGCCTTATTATCTTCTGGACTTCTGCTCAGAACACAGGGCCAAACCAAACTTGCTTTGTTGGGTGCAGATAGTTTCCTTCCATTTATTTACTGTCTTATGAAGGCAAGACAGAACTCCTCTGGGTGGGTGGCTAAGAGCAAGGGAATTTAGCAAGAGCCACACACATGTACCACACCCATCAGCATATACAGCATGATATACACATTTACGTATTAGGCAGTGCTGAGTATGTATCACAACTGGTCAACTTCAAAACAAACCCTGATGACAAGCTTAGAACGCTTTCTTTTTTGTTGTTGTTCCTAAAAGAGGGAAGGATCTTTGATTGGAATAATGCACCTGTATCTCTACAACTGTTTAGTTTTTTTAAAAAAAAAAACCTATGTAAACCTTATCTGTCTTCCCTTTCTTTCCCCTTTATTTGTCTGAGAACGGGATGGAAATTATGTGGCCCTCTAAATCAGTGGTTCTCAACCTGTGGGTCTCCAGGTGTTTTGGCCTACAACTCCCAGAAATCCCAGCCAGTTTACCTGCTGTTTGGATTTCTGGAGTTGGAGGCCAAAACATCTGGGGACCCACAGGTTGAGAACCATTGCTCTATATGTTGGTCTGTAACTGCCACCTCACTCTAACCAGCATGGCCAGTGATGAGGGCTGGGAGTTGCCAGTTGAACAATGCACGAAGGAATACATAATTCCCACCCCTGAACTAGAACTTCCTTCTCTGAATTTGGTGTAGGATCAATCTAGATTCCCTGTTTCAATGCAGGGAGCTTTGGGCAATTCCATTGTATGTAGCTGGATCTGAGCATACCTGCATGGCCAAGCCCATGTGGGGTGTGAATGCTGCCCTTCCTATGGGAGCCATTTGTCAGCAGTGTTGTGTGTTTATCACCCATGATCCAAAGCCTTCCACCTCCATGTTTAAAGGTTTGTTCTCTTTCAAATGGCTGTAGTTTGGAGTGCACTGGACTTGAGTTGAGATGGTTGTACATGACCATGCCTCTGCTTGAATCCACCATGAAAAGAGAGATAGTTTGGCATTCTTAATTTTTGGTGCCCCTCCTTGTAGAGGCAGTTCCAGGGTGTGTCGTACTTGGTCTGTGTCTTCCGTGTTCTGTCAGAAACTAGTCATTAAAATTCCCACCATTAGCAAGTAGCTTTTTTTGTAAATGGCATGCCCACATTGCCTTGAAAGCATTACAGTGATAGTCTGCCTTAAATTTTTTGAATGGAAAGAGCCATGCTGCTCATTTGTCTGAAGGAAGATCCCTCCCCTCCTTTTTTCCCTTTTGCTTTGCACACTTCCAGTTGGAAACGTCTTACTATGCAGGGAACATGTTTGCGTGCTTCTTCCTACTCTGAACAAGTTTGCTTTTGTTCTTCCATATCTCTCCGTCTGTGACAAAACATATAGTTTCTTGAATGCAGTATGGGACTATAGATTCTTAGGAGTTTTTTCTAGTGAGCCTACCCAAATTTCAAAATTTTGAGGGCTTTCCCAGACTTTTTTAATGATAAATATAGAGCAAATTAATTTTCAACTCTCATTTTCCCCTGTTCTTAGGGATTGGTGGAACCAGGAAGACAGTGAGAAATATTTGGCATATCTAAAGAGACACTGGAAGTCCATTGTGGAAAAATGATGCTAGAGGTCAACATGGTGCTTACTGCTCCATACCGTGCATTGATGGGGATAAGCAGCTGCATCAATATGGGGCCATCTGCACTTTAGCTTTCTTCCAGCTTGAATACCAGTAGAATCTGAATGGGGAACAGCCGGTGCCTCCATAGACAGCTGCCCCATTCTTTTTCTTCTTCTTTCTCTTTTCTTTCTTTCTTTTTTTTCTTGGATGGACATTGTGTTCTGCACATGGTTTAAAACAGTTAATTTAAGATAGTTTCTCCCTGAAATCTACAGTCAGCATGCCCACACTGGCTGGGGGATTTTGGGAGATGTAGTGCAACAGAAAAATATTTTCCAGACTTTTGATTTTACACAAGCTCAAAACTTTGCAAGTACCAAACAGGCTTCAGAAGCACATATGGAATATAGAAGTAAACATCCCAAAAATTGTATCTTCTATTTTAAAAATAAAGGCAAAGTTTAGGTCAGGAGTGGGAAAAGCATGGCCCACATATGAAGCTTTCCACAGCCCATGTTTTTGCAGAGAGCCTTGCAAATATATGGGCCATGTAGATAGTAAAATCTGAGAATTTAACTCCCTAGTGGTTCGGATGCAGGAATTTAGAACTTTTTGTCATACTTAGCAGAAGCAAAAAAAAATTACAACAACTAAGTAAACAGAGAGCAGTTTGGTTGCTTGAGATAATACAATGAGGTCAGGGAAATTTTGATTCTCTTTGTGCCTGGTATTTATTACTGTTATTATATTACATAGGGGCCCAGCCTTGGCAAATCTTGGGATGCATTTTGAGTGACCTAGGTGTAGAGCAGGTGACATCTGATAAATATGAAGACTCATTGCAAAGGGAAGACAGGACAGGTTATACCAGCACTTGCAGAGCATGGCACATGATGACTATTTCTGTTGCCTTGGAACACATTGACAGCGATAGAGTTAAACGTTTTTGACAGGGTGAAAGTGTGCCAAAATTCTGGGTGGCTGTTAACCCGAGGAAGATGCTGATCTCTTCTTATTTAGATAAAATAGCTGGATGGACCAAGAACATCACTTTTTATTTCCTTTCCTCATTTGCCTGTGGACAGTTCATAAACCTTTGTTGTTTACAATATACTTGAAGTAATTTGGTGGCTGCATCTGTAGTACTATCTGAATAACCCAAGGGGAATCCTTCAGTTGGAAAGCCTGCTGCCCAACACTGCCTGATGCTGAGGAGCCGAATTACTTCAGCTTACTACTTGCAGCCTTGCATATTGGGAGCCAAATGCTACAAAGGCACACTTTGTGCCCAGCAGGCATCAAATCCCACTTAAGCTATGTTTGTGTGATTTGGGAATCTGGGTCTGTTTCTGGAATTTGGCCTGTCCTTAAGCTGGTGGAAGAGAGCACTTCTGGTGAATGAGTGGTTGCCGTGCCATGCCATGCCATCCTTGCATCAACCCATGAAGCTGCCTAAGACTGCCTACTTAGTCATATTTACTCAGAGTGGAAGATTTCTTTCCAAGCTTTGAAAGAGAGGGAGAACAAGAGAGAGAAATAAAGATTTCAGGAGTTTAACCCAGGACTCCTGCATGCATGGAAAAGTAATCTTTTCCGTTATTCTTCCTCCCTCTTCCTGTCTAATTGAAAATAGTTGTTTATGGTTTGATGCAGTGCTGTTTTTCATTAATTTGTGCAGGTGGTCATTTACCAACTGGCTAGGTTCATATGCTGGTAAAGAGTGATTTCTTTGCTCCTCCTTTTGCTGACATTGATTTTATTGCTTTATATAAGAACTACAGTAAAAAAGCAAAACATAAACCGTCAGCATGACTTCAAGAGAAAATGTGATCAGGGAAAATGGCAAGTAAATACCTCACAGGATTCCTGCTAACATGGAATTGTGTGTCTCTTATTTCTATTGCTTCTCTACATCCAATATAGAACCTGTGTTTTAAAATGGATGCTTCCACTGACTCTGGAGTAATTTGAAAGAAAGAATTTGGGGCATGATGAAGTAACTACTCGAGGTGACTCGAGGTGCCTTGGCATTTGCAGGAAGTCTCGGTGTCCTTCCCTTGTGGTTAAATCTGAAATTTGATGGTTCCTGCAAGTCAAAACAACCAGCATTACCATTTCCTCTTTTAGTCAGGTCTGTAGTTTTGAAGTGTCCTTTCATTTACAGTAAGTTAGGTGGGAGAATAAAAGGTCTGTTGAGATGTATTTGTTTTGCATATTCAAAGTTACACATTTCTCTTTATGGTATGGATACAATAGGGCTCAAGATACATCTTTAGAGACTAGAACTAAAATGGAGTACAGTGGACATATAGGGAATTGGACAATGTTAGATGCTCAGGAGGCAGACTGTATATGTTAACTACCTTGTAGAATTATTCCCACAACACTTTTTTTCCAACTGCAGAGCTTTTGCACAATCTTTCCTATACTGTTTTGTCCAGCTTCTCTTAACATTTAGTAAGGAAATAGCCTGTTTTAATTCCTGCACATCACCGCTCTCGCTTCATGAGAGAGATGTAGGTTTGTTTCCTTATAAAAAAATTATCACATGTAAAGCAAGTCTCAAAACACTGGATACAAGGGCTGCCAAACATGGAACTTGAAAACATTTCATATACACTCCAGTTATTTTTTTTTATCATGTTCTGGTGAGAGAGGTTTTTCTTTCAGACACCCCAGTGACCATTTTTTATTTCATTGTTACCATTGGTATTTATTAATATTAACCCAAACAATGTAGTTGAAATTACTATTTTGCATGCAGAGTTTCCAAAACCAAAGATGCTCATGTTACCTGTGCTAGTGTGAACAGAACATACACAAGTGATGTATGTGATGTTATATCTTGGTTTTTGTAAGGAAGAGCGACTACAAACAATGAGTTTTCTGTAATTTTGATACATGTATGTTGAGCTGGAACTGGGGCTTCTTTCAACGTAGTTACTTCCTGTTGGACAGACTGCATTGCAACTCTGGAAGTTTTCAAATACAGTGTATGCCAAAAGCACTCTCATATTCAGAAGCATCAAAGATTAGCCACAAATCAGAGGCAGTTTACTTATTCCATGGCAGGGGTCAGTGGCCACTGGCATATTGTGACATGTGTCAGTGGTCTTTAATCAACAACGATTGCCAAAGGTTACATATTCCATGTCCCTGAGCAAAGACACATACATTGTCTTCACAATTCAACAACATTCATTGCATTTGCAACAGACGCTGGACCTGTGCACACAGTGGCTGCTACTGCCATGTGAATGTTTTCAGTTTCTCTTATTAGTGCTTTTATAGTACCATAGTGGACACATATACAAGAGGCAATGTATGCTTTGTTTGGGGTAGGAATTCTTTCATTGGCTTGATTTGTATAGTGTGGTGTTTTATGACTCTTGTTTTAAATGCCTCTGTCCTTCGTATCTAGTTGCTTCCAACATATGTCTTTGCTCACTTTTGAACTTGACCACCTCTGTCACTTTATTGAGATTCTAGCACTTGTACCAGAGGAAATATGTGCTGAATACAGATTTCTGCTTTGCTTGAGTAGGTGACCCAGTGAGAATGGTTGTCTTGTTTTTGCTGGAGATTTCAGTTAGTTTTGCTTTTGCATGGACGCTTACACAGTTCAGACCAAACGTCTTTTCTAAACCAATATACACATGCCCTCTGTTACCCGCAGGCAGGCTGCAGTACATTGCAGATGCAGGAGAGCTGTTGGAGATGGGGAGAACCTGGTTGCCTTCAGTGTTTTTTATTTGTTCATAACCTAAGTTGCACCACTATAAAAATTTATTTGCAGAATGGTACTCGTATATGTGGGATTTTAAAATACCATAATTAATGCTGTGCAGGATGTCAATCAGTTTGATTTTGCTTTATTTTATATATATATATTTTTCTGGTATCCTGTACATTGCAGTGGGTGTGAAGATAGTATTTTAATATTTGTACAAAGGTTAATTTAATTTCAATTGTTCTATGTATATAACTGCATTTCTAAATTAAAAAAAATCTTTTGAAATGAATTGCTGTTGTGTGTTTGATTTGTTGTGGGACATGGAAGTATTTTGATTATCCTCTTGGGCTCGCTCCTGAAACATCACAGTTGGGTTAGGCTCACTGTTGATTGCATGGAGCCAGAAGGCCATTCATTCACCCATTCTGCAGAAATTGCTCATTGGTCCTATGAACCACTTCTTCTTAAACTGTGGGTGCCAACCCCAAATGGGGGTCTCCTCAGCTCAATGTTGGGGTCATGAAAAATTTGGCAATGTTAAAAGGTTTCTGAATGCTACCTAGACATTTATACAAATCTGTTAGATTTAAATCTTTGATTTTTATACATATTTTATATACCTCTATACCTGAGCCATGTTAAAATTTCTCAAGCAGAAAGGAATTATGAGTGGAAAAAGCTTAATAGACCCTACTATAAAGAACTAAATAGAAAAGACAGATATTTGCACAATGCCCTGAATGCCCCCAAAATCAGTGCTGTAAAAGTGAAAAAATTCTCTGGAATCAGTTTTCAGGTGGTATGGAAGGACACAGAGAGGAAGGAAGGGGAACAATTTCCATTCTGGCCATGAATGCTATGTTAGATTTAGCTCACAACTGTCCTGTGTTTATACATATAAGCAAATCTAAAAGCCAATTTTGCATGCACAAAGTCTGCCTCTCCACATCTTTTATTTACTCCCATTGATGTTGAAAATCACCACATTGGTTCCATCTAACCCATGATGTACTTACAGATTGGCAAATGTGTGGGATGATAGTCCACAAAAAAAAAATCTTGAATAACTATAGGATGTGAAATGTAAGTATCGGTTTAGGTAATGTTGGTTTCTGCATGTAGATTGTAGACATTACAGATCTAGGCTTGGTCCTAGCCATGCAGGAAAGACATCTGCTGTACAATTGTGGCTTACATGATACATTTATCCAGTAATTAATAAGCTGCTTTTAAATAAATCTAGCAGAAAGTGCCTTTTGTTTATATGAGTAAATCATTTTGGAAGTCACTACAAGCATGTCTATTTTAACATAAACAAAAATGATGGCCATTATGATATGGCTTCATTTTTGTTTATATACTACACATTTCTCACTTCCTCGTGGCAAAAAGCCAAAATATTTGCTCCAATTTGGTTACAATCATAGATCACTAAGCTGCTAAGATGAAGTCTTCTGCAGCTTTACCAACTGAATTGAACGAAACAGGCTTTTACAGTGGAATAGTGCTGAGAAAGTTATGGCTTTGAATTGTGGTTATCACATGACATGGTAGTTATTCTGCTTGTCTTCTACTTGTTTCCTGCTTAAAATCCTGGAACTGTTCTGCTTTTTAAAAAAAAGATGCGTATTAACTGTATCAATGATTTCTACTTGAAGGAGCAGGAGTTCAGGTGATATATTTTGCATGTCCTGCTCTACCCTTTTAATGTATATATTTGTTTATATGGAGAATGAATTGTGGTGTCACAACGGGTTAAACTGTTGAGCTGCTGAACTTGCTGACTGGAAAGTTGGCAGTTTGAATCCGTGGGACGGGATGAGCTCCTGCTGTTAGCCCAGCTCCTACCAACCTAGCAGTTTGAAAATATGCAAATGTGCGTAGATCAATAGGTACTGCCTCGGCAGGAAGGTAAACGGTGCTCCGTGCAGTCATTCCGGCCACATAACCAGCAGATGTCTATGTACAAAGCAGGCTCTTTGGCTTAGTAATTGAGATGAGCACCACCCCGCAGAGCCGGAGATGAGCACCACCCCCGAGAGCTGGAGATGAAGCGGAAGCCTTTACCTTTATCTGTGTGTCTGGGTTTCATTGTTTCAAGGCACTGAATGTTTGCCTTGTGTCTCCATATATGCTGGAATCCGCCCTGAGTCCCCTCGAGGAGATAGGGTGGAATACAAATAAAGTGTTGCTGCTGCTGTTGTTGTCATCCTTCCAAAATGGCTGTCTCCCTCAAACCAAATAGTCGTCCACCTGAACATCTGTGATTTCTTTTTCTTCTTTATTACTATGGCTCCTCCCTTCCTCCTCAGCTCAATGATCACATAGGTGTTTTTTATCATACTAGTCATAGAACCATGCTACACTATATCACCAAGGTCCATTCCAGCAGTGTTTTACGCTTACAACTGCACAACCAACATATGCATAGACACACATACACACAAAGAGAGACTCAGAAATAAAGTTCCACTTCATTTCCTAATGTGCCAAATGGCAAAAAAGCTTTTTGAGAACCCACCATAGTGCTTCTATTGTACTCCTCTAGTATTTTGAATTAAAGGGAACTGGGTGGATATGAACAGAATCATTCAGTTTCAAAATGTACACTATATTTTATATTTTTCTAATTTCTGATTTCAATATATGTCCCAAACATATTGAGCTATGATCAAAGATGAAAGAGGAGCAGGAAAGGAAGTGATCACACAGAGGAAGACTTACACTATATTAGTTTGAGAAGGTTAAATGCTGCTCCATGACAGGAAGAATTGTGACTGATAAACTTAAAATATTATCAGATATTAATATGTAATTGTTGTTATCCTGCTTTTCAGATATGAGACCCCAAACAGCTCTACTTAAAAGGCAATTGAATTAAATATGTAAAACAAGGAAGCTTTTAAAACCAATTCCCTGGCACAAGTCAGGACCCCTGGTCTGTTCTTTAAAGGCTTTGTTTAAAAGGCTCCCTGAAGAAAATGGTTTCCAGAGAAGGGAGTTCCAGAGCTGAGGGGCAGCCACCGCAAAGGCTTTCTCATGTCACCACCAACCATGCTTGCGATGGTGGTGGGATGGAGGGAAGGGCCTCTACCGATTATCTCAGAGCCTGGGCTAGCTTTTCTAAGGGGAAACAATCTGCCAAATGGCCTGGATCCAGGCCTGTAGCTGGGGTGGGGTGTGGGGTTAGAGGTTCAACCCCCCCCCCCCGAATTTTTTCAGGTTAAAAAAACCCTGGTTTACTCATGAATTTTAACTGGTTAACCAAATCCCCATGCTAAGTCTATGAGACGCAAAAAAAAAAATTATTCACACTGTCAATACTTGCAGCAATAGCCGATGTAGCGAAGCAACCAAGTTGGGGGGGGGGGGGTGTTGAATGCTCTCATTAAGGAGGCCAGACTTGGTGGAGGTGGTTGACAGGGGTGGAGCTGCAGGCTATTGAAGGCTGCTCTGCCCCCTGCTGTGCTCTTTGCTTCATTGTGAGCTAGGAGGCAGGTTTCAACCCCCCCCCCCAACGAAATTTTCAAAACCCTCCCTGAAATTTTCAACCCCCCCTGAATTTTTTTTCTGGCTACAGCCCTGCCTGGACCTGAACCATATAGAGAATTATAGGTCATAATTAGCACTTTAAATTGTGCCCAGAAACAAACTAGCAGTCAGTGGAGCTGTTGCAACTAGAGAATTGCATGCCCCAGTTAACAATCTGGCTGCAGCTCTTTGGACCAGCTGAAGCCTCAAACACACTTCAAAGGCAGTCCAAAGTAGAGCGTGTTAGTCATCCAAATGGGATGTAACTTAGGCAGGTATCACCATGGCCAGATCCAACAGCTCAAGGAATGGGGACCGCTGGTTTGCATGTGTAAGACCACTCCTGGCTACAGAAACCTGGGCTTCCACTTTCAACACTGAGCCCAGGAGTACTCCCAAACTACAAATCTTGTTGGTCTGTCCACTTTGGTGAAGATTGCAAAGTCAAAGGTGAGGAGAGTTATAGAACCAAGACTGCTTATTCCACCTGTCTGGTATTTTGCAATAGAATGGTCACCGTAAGCACAATGTACTGGCCAAATGGCAGAAGAACCTGTTTAATATTGCCTGCGACAAAGCACTTAAAAGAGTTCCCTTTTAAGTATAAGCTTCTCTGGTTTGGATCCATCAGATAATTTCCTTTTGCTGGTTTAGGTCTCTCAAAAATGTGAAGAAATTGGGAGGTTCTTGCCAGTCTTGATCTGGAGAGAATTCATTTATTTACTCTAAATCATAAGGCAAGGTTCCAAAGTCTAGAATACCATGATAAGTCATAGTGCAAAGGCTGCATCCTTTTATAATGGTTTCTTAGCAAAATGAGTATCTAGGCCAGTCCTCAGACTTTCCTATCAAGGACACATGTAGCATCCTATTAAGATGTCTCCTTTTACAAAGATAAGAAAGTTCAGATATTGTATTGGTACAATAGAGTTTGAGATCCCCCTTCCTCAATATGCATGCCACCCCCCAATGCTTTTATGATATGAGATGAATGGCCAATTTGCAGTGAAGTATTTTGGCAAACAACAGTAAGTACCAGACATTTTGAGGAGATACAAGCAGAACAATAATGGATATGTTCAATTGCAATTTATTAACTATTAATAAAGACTTGAGCCACATTTTTGTTTCCTCAGACAGCAGAGGAAGACAGTGAAAAAATGCAGTCAAGCAGGTATTACAGCATGGAAACCTGAAACACAAGGAAGAAACATAAAACGAGCATAGTGAGTTCAGTATCACATCTCCTTTGCCTTCCCCTGTGCATACGCACATTCATTATTCCTTATATTGTATCTTACAAATGAGCTTAAATAGAAGATACTTGAGAGCTATGTATAAATAAATAAAATGGCTTATTTTTCAATTTTATTTGGCAAAGGAGCCTAGCTTAATTTTTCTGAGAAAATCCTATTTTTTAAGGCGCTCAAAATTAATATTAGATATAGCCTTCGATAAACTGTTAATAGAAATGCTTTAAGAATAAATCATACAGTTAACATTAAATCTAACAAATTGGCACAGGTAGAAATTTTACATGGCTATGGTTCCAATATTGAAATTGGTCATCTCACAGAAAAAGGCAAATAATTTGTTTCCTGTGGTTCCAGAGGACAGGCCACAATCGATTAGGTTTAAAATACAGGATGGTGCTCAGATTCTCTTGTTCTCACTTTGTTCAGTCCTGTTGGAGGTGGTATTTTAATAAAGGCAGAAAATGCTTTAGCTCCAGGTTTTCTGCACTGGACAATGATTTAC